GGCAAATAATGAAGATAGAGAAGTACATTTGTGGAAACGTTGTATACTAGGCACTTTACATATCTTATTTGATCCTCACAACAATCTGCAAGGTGTGTATTACAGGACACGAAGAGGGCATAGGCTCTAGGAAGCTAAGAAATTACCTGAAACTTCCCATCTAATTAATATGTGGTATAGTTGAGATTTGACCTCAGGAACATCTGCCTCTCAAGACTACTCATATACTATGACATCACACTGACTCCCAAATTAAGATGTGTAAAAAGTGCTCTAAGCTCTTAATAGATATTGTATAAAATATGAGGCAAGTATTAGTTAGAATGTGTCTAAATTTAGGCATCGGAAAGAAGGACCTCTTCATTTAGTCTGTAATTGAACCTCAATTGCTCATTTTACAGGTCCTTACAGTAGTAATTAAACATTCCTTCCTTTGTAGTGTATGTGTTCTCAGACTGCTGTGAAAGATCGTTGGTCAGCAGCCTTTGCAGCTTTTGGCAGTTGACTGCTAGCGCTCTGCAAACATGGACAGCTGAAGAAAATGCAGACGGTCCTATGCAACACGAACCAAGGCAACATGTGGTATGCATTTAACTGGAACTTAAAGTGTGCTTCTTAACCTCTGGGTGTCGCTCCACCGTTCCTTTATATGGCTACGCATTTCCAAGGAAGGCTGAGTTTCCAAATACAGGGCAACAGGCCCCACATGTGTTGTTCGGCCATTCAGATGTATATGATGTGTCTGAATGTCTTCAAGCAAGTGCATTTAGCACATGCTTCCTCGCACTAACATATGTATTTATGAACTGTCTCCCCCTAAATGGTAAGCCCCTTGAGGGCAAGTGCCATGCCTGATAATATGACCTTATTAGCTGTACATCACAGAGTAACAGTACTGTCATGTACATAGCACTGTACAATCTATAAATTGTTCTTATAGATAAGCCCCCTAACTACATTGTGACATTTGCTACATCTTCCAGATGAGGCTCTCAGAGGCTAAGCAATTAGCTGTAATCACAAACTAGTAGGCAATGTTTTCCTCTTGCCCACAACAGAAAAGTATTCACACCCTGTCTTGCATTGTTATTTCCTTCTAAGGTTTTTATTACAAGGGTTAATACTTATTGGACTTTTTATCAAAATAAATATTATATATGGCTTATATGTAGGTATGCAAGGCACTGTTCTTAGGGCTTTACAAATACTAACTCATTTAATCTTCCCGACACCCCCATGACATAGATGCAATTTTTATCCCCATTTTACAGTTAAAAAACTGAGGCACAGAGAGATTAACTCATCCAAAGTCACAGGATTGGTAAATGCCAGCAGTGAGGTTTGAATGCAGGAAGTCTGGGCCTCAGAGTCTGTGCCCTTAACTTATTCTGCCCTATTCTGCCTGAATAAGAATCTACAGAGATGATTGCTCAGGATATGTGAGCAATTATTCAACGAGGGGGGGAGGGGAACGTGTGTTTAGTCCTCCCTATGTGATTTATTTTATTATATCCTAAAACCTTTCCTCATGCTGATAGAACTCCATGTAAGTACTATACTAAATTTTCCTGTACTGAAGGCATACGCGATGGTTACCTTGACTGACACGTAAAATACCCAAAACAAAATAGCCCACGACTTAAGGAGTTTTTGTTTCATGAATTAGAGACATGAAAGGATTGCCAAGGCATCAGAAGTATTATAAGCTCACATCTGTAAGTCCTTCTTGGAGATTTTCATATTTCTCATATAAGAATGTTCCCTGTGTGAACTATTTCAGTGTTCACTTGATATTGGGAGCTTGAAAATTGTCTAGTCCTTTTTAATTTTTAATTTTCAACTAGTTTTTCTTCACACATAGGGCAAGCACTTGCTTTCAATATGATGGTTAACACTTTGTATGTTTTGTTTTTTTAGTTGTCTTGAAAACATGCAAGTAAACATGCAAACATATTGTAAAGGTTTAAAATTCTGGGTGTGTATAAATATATCAACAGGAGTTATGAATTATGTATATCTAAGTCTATATAAATTAGATTTTGAAGAACAAGCATCACAGTACTCAGGCAGGTCATAATAAGAGATTCCATGTGAAATGTAAAAACTACCTTGAATAAATTATCCATAAGTTAACACTCTCATTAGAATGACATATTTATTATTTCTGGGTTTGTGACATTCCTTTAATGCACTTTGACTAACTGTTCTAATGGCACATTAAGAAACCATTTCAGATTTCAGGCCTTTTCCCCCCATTGGAATTAGCAGACTTTATTTACATTTGAACTAAAATAATTTAAAATAACACAAAACAATCACCCATTTCCCAACGTAGAATCCCATTTTCTACTTCCCAGAAACATTTAATTAAAGCAGGATATAACTTTAGTAATTATTTTTGCACAGAATGACTCTAAAATTAATAGTCAATTGTTAGGACTGTTTAAAAATTGGGAGACTGACAATCAAAACAATCTTAAACGCCTTGTTTATGTGATGAAAAGGAGTGATCCTTTAATTCCCTCACACACATTAAACTGATTTCACAGACTTTCTGTACTAGTGTTTAACATAGTCAAGTGCTTGAGGTTACATAAAATAAACAATCTTGAGATCTTATTGCAAATGTTTGCAATTTATGATGTAAACTGATTTGTGAAAAAATAACAGGATCCCATGTCACTGAAGCCAAAAATGGCATTTTTTCAGAAATCAAAATAGTTCTGAAATTTGAGCATTGCATTATATTAAAGTATTACCATCTGAGAATCTAAAAAGTTATAAATTTGGGGGAAAATTCAAAATAGATATTTATCAGTTCAGCTTCAAGCAAGGAAGGGCCTCTGATCTTACTGGGCCTCTTGTATCGTTGGGTGCTTAACACTAATAATGCCTTGAATAATCTCCTTTAGCGCGGATTTTCCCCAGTCAGGGATTTTGTAGCTCGTGAAGGCTTTGCACACCCTGAAAGATTGGGGGGGGGGGAGGCCAAAATTTTATTTTTATTACGACTATTGACTTTCAACCAAAACAACATGCATGTAAGGCCTTATTTGAATTTAAGCTGAAGTCTTCCTCAGGTGGCTCTTTAAACTCGGAGTTTGGAACACCCAGGTGCATCCCGGAGAGTCTGGGCCGTGAAGCTCCGGAAAAGTAGGCCCCGCGAGCGCTTGTGTGGGAGACTGGACCCGAGGCACCCGGCCCCGAAGGGCCAGGAACGGCAGCCTGGTCCCTCGCTGAGTCTCGGCAGAGCGGACGCGGGAGGAGGTGAGGACGCCTCGGGTGCCCCTGATGCGCGGGGTGCCACAGGCTGCGCCCGGCTCAAGTTCGGCCGACGAGACCAAAAACTTTGACCTTTATCACCCGGCCTGGCGGCGCCTCTGCGGGCTCCTCTCTCTGCCTTGCGCGCTCCAGCTGGAGCCCGACCCCCGCGGGGCTCGGCGCCCAGCCCACCGAGCTCCTGCCGCGGGGAACGTCCCAGGCGGATCTAGGCCGCATTTCTGCGCCCCCTTCTTGGTGCCCCGCGCCTAGCCGGCCCGGGTCCGGACGCACCGCCTCCTTTGACCTCAGGTTTTCCCCAAGCTCAGCTGCAGGGACAGGCTGGGCTCCGCGTCCGCCGCGCCCACGGCTGGGCACTGGACAGAACCGCTAACTCTCCGACCCCAAGTTCTCCCGTGACCTCCAACTCCCTCCGGGTGCCCCGGGAAATGTCCAAACCTGCGTCGGGGGCTGGATTAGGGTTGGGGCTCGGAGACTGCAGGTTCCGACCCCCGGCCCAGGCGCCGACGGGTGCTCGCGGGAAGCCAACACCGCCGCGGCGGGCGGTGCAGCGGCGGCCGCTTCAAAGCGCACCCCGCCCCAGGCAGATGTTTATTATGAAAACTAGGGAAGCTTGTCAACTGGGAGACCCGCAAGGCCTGAGCGCTGAATACGTCTTTAGTCCTGGTCAATGATCTTTGAAAGCTAAAAGATAAATATGAACAAATCACCCACGTCTACGCGGAGGAACAGCTTTGAGAACAAGCTGAACCCAGGATAGGGCCGGGTGGGGGCGGGGGGAGCATGGCTGCAGAACGCGGGGCTTTTTCGAGGGGTTGGGGGTTTCCTCTACGCGTCCTCCCGCTCAAAGGGGGCCCCAGGGGACACTCGGAACACACTCAATCTTCGTGGAGGGTGCCCCCTCCCATGCCAAGATCCCGCGCGGGAAGGGAAGGGCCTGTTCCGGGCCTGGCCAGGGCCGAGTCTTCCCGGTCCCTACCTTCCCCCAAACGCGAGCTGTACTAGTGGGCTTTCTTCCGGGAGAGGGGGCCAAGAGGAGGAGGGAAAGAAGGGCTCTTCGGTGTTCTGAGGACAGCTAAGACCCGGCTTTTCTTAAACACGGCCCTGGCTTCTGCCTTTTCCTAATTTTAACCAACGAACGGTTATATCCCAAGAGCTAAACTAGGGTGGAACGTGGGGAATCCGCGCTTCCCAACGCTTCCGCCCCACTCCGCAGCTCGGGCCCTACTCACCGTGCATAATCGCCTCTCGATTCTGGGGAGGGTCGGCGACCCGGGATCGAGTGTCTCTTATGCCACAATTAATCAAGGCGGATTTTGCGCCGCGTGATCCCGATTTCCTTCCTCCCCAAAGGGTCCCCCAGATAAACTTCAAGGGTGAAAGCGCAGCAAAATGAAGAACGGGAGTCCACCTTGGGGAGGGGTGTTATTCTAGTCTGTTATTTTACGTATTATCTGTTCTTTTATTGACTTGGTGTAAAATCAATCTGGTTTCTATGCTGGGTGGATAAGGGCAGGGGTGGGGATTCGTTCCACGTTATCGAGAACCACCGAGCCACCATTCTCACAGCCCCTTGATTGCGGCATGTAGGAACAGAGGCAAGTGCTTTCCAAGTTGGTAAATTCGAAAGACAGGTATACATTCATCAAAAAGGAAGAAGGAAAGACTCTCCCGGATAGTTTAATAGTAACAGGAACAAAGATGACGCGAACCCCATCAAATGAAACAATACTATTTTCATTCAATTGATCGCAAAGTGTCTTCAATTAACTTGGCACTTATTTAAAAGGTTTAACAGAGGTGAAACAGAAACATTTTGTACCGACAACACGTCATGAAATAACAGCATCTTCTTTTGTTTAAAATAACTTAATACACTAGAAAAAATATGGCAAATATAAATAATTTGTTTTCATGGAGAACAAATAGTTACAAAGCTCAACCGCATACCAAAGTTCAGTTAAAAGAGCTTTTCCTCTTTCTTGTAAATTAGAAGAAAAAAAAAACTAAGGAGGCTTTCTAGAGAATTGGGATACAGATTGCTTAGTCCAGGGTACCCCAGTTTAAACAGCTACATGAATTGAAACAAAACAAAACAAAAAATTACTTGAATATACACCTTTGTGAGATAAAATGCAAATGTTGAAAGTCAACCATCAGTTCACACATTATAGCCAAAATAAACTTTGTTCGTGTGTATCAACATATTTTACACAAACCTAGTGCCTGTATCTAGCTGGGTGTTGTTTAAAGTAAGTGTGACAGGTTAGAGAGGGGGAAATAAAGCATGGTCCTCAAATAGGACTTCAGGTAACCAGCAAGAGGGAATACAAGAAAAGGGGGGGGGAAGGAGAGGGACTATCACTGAGCGTGCCTACTATATGTCAGGCACCGTATGAGGCGCCGTACCTTCAACATTTCATTTGGTCTTCTTGTTTTCCTTTTCCTTTCCCCATTTTCTGCCCGCCTCCGTTTGCTTGGGACAATCAGAGTGTAAAATTTTTCCCTTCGACTTTTTTCTTTTGTCCCCCAGGATCAAAGACGGGGCAAAATATATAGATAGATAGATAGATAACTATCTATCTATATAGATAGATATCAATTTCCAGACGCTTTTGGTATTGTTTTTCATACTGAAGATGAAAATGAAGTAAGTGTATGTGAGTAAAGCGGGGAGGGGGGAGACACCAGCAATGGAATACAAGTAACATGCAAACTGGAATTTACTGTCAGCAGTCTGGACAGTTCTGCCATAATAATTTTTCAGAGAAATCACTGTCTGTGGTATCACTTTTTCTATTAATATTTTTTCTCTCCTTGCTTTTATACTGTCTTCCCTCTTCTTGCTCTTCCATTCGTGGTGGTTTTTAACTCAAAGCATCTGATTCAACGTAAAAGGAGGCCCGCCTCTCTTATCAAATTTCTCGTATTAAAGTGAACTTCGCAGAAAAAAGGTCAGTTTCAAAACCTGTGAACTTCCCAGCTGCGCACTTTTTTCATCTTAATTCTTTAAATAAGTATACCTCTTCCTTCTGTTTTGCCTTCTCAGCCCATTGGGAAAAAACATACACGTCTTTAAGTTGGTAACTCCCCAGCCCCCCGTTCTCTCGAGATTTGTCCAGGTTATTTTTCCATATTTTTAAATGTATAAAATAATTTTTAAAATTTTTTTTGTTCCTTGGTTCTCTCTCCCGTTTCAGATTCTGCCAAATAGCAGTAAGAAATAAGTTCCCTTTTTTATCTTTTCTGCTTTTTTTTTTGCTCATTTTTTATTAACAGGATTTTAATTTCTGCGCAAGAGTCCATCATTGCAGCTTTGCCATGAGCCACACTCCGCTGTCCCAGCACTCCCTTGTCCAACCTCTCTCCAGACTTTCCCAAACCCGCCCCTACAAAGCTGAATTCTAGGCCCCTGGGTAGGCGAATGGTCAGGATCCACCGAGTTGGTGCGCCTAGTGGGATCCCGGGTCTCGCGCGGAGTCCCGCTTTCCGAGTCCGGGATGCGGATGCGAGCAAGGGGCGATCAGCCGGGCAAAAACAGACTTGGCTCCGGAGGTCCGGAGAGGGTAACGCAGAAGCGGCGGGGCGCGGAGAGGGTGCAGGCTGCGCACCGCGCTGGAGGCGCAACGTTGGGGCTAGCGTTGGCGTCACAGACCCAGGGCGGCTGCGTGCTTTTTGGCTTTCAGTCTGAGATCGGCGATGCTGGAATTCTTACTGGTGGTCTTGGCGGCGGCAGCGGCAGCCACCACGGAGGCGGCGGAGGCTGAGTCCGCGGCCAGCGTGGCCAGCGGCAGTCCGAAGGGCGGCGCCGGGAACATCATGTAGGGCGCGTGCGCGGCCAGGTGCGGATGCAGGTGGTGGTGCGCGTGCGCAACGGCGCTGTCCAGCTGCAGCTGCGCCTGAACCTGAAAGGACAAGGGCGTCACGTTGCAATGACTATCCTAGGGTGACAACAGAATAGAAACAGAGCATTAACGGCGTCCAGCTTGGCTCAGGGGAAGGCTGGGGCGGGGGACGGGAAAGGGGCATTTGGCTGACCTTCTCAGTCTGTTACTGAATCTGAGGCGCCACAGGGATATTCCAGTGCCCCTGAATCTCTGCAACTCGCTCAGCGCAGCTTATCTCTCCCTGGGCCCAGGGGACAGGTGACTGCTGGAATGTGGCTACCCCCTCGGGAGCTGGGCCCATCGGAGGGCGACATTGGTATTGTGCTAAAACATCGCCCTCCTCAAAATAACAATGGTGTACTGGAAAGACGAGGTGAGGGCCTGTTACCTTCCTCTCTTAATGCTACCATACACCTCTCCCCTCGCTATTAAAGCACTGAAGTACCCACAAGCGAACCACAGAACTTTGTATGTCACTTAGGGGAGTCACTGCATCTTCATCACAATTTGCACAATTGCTAGTACTTCTAACCTTTGCTGCTGTGAGAATTACCTGGGGATCTTGTTTAAATGCAGATTCTGATTCAGAACGTCTAGGTTGGGGCCTGAGATTCTGAATTTCTAATAATCTCCCTGCTGCTGCTGCTGCTTCTGTAGACCTACAGATGACCTTCTGAGTAGTAAGGGTCTTCTTTTAAGACCCCCCTCTTTCTCCAGTCATTCTTTCTGGATTTAAAGCCTAGTATCAAAATACCAGAGTCCTGTGGTGCCAAAAAAGCTAAGATCTCCTTAACACTAACCCTCAATACATGGGTGCACCCATGTATCTCCCCAGTCCAGGGCACTGGCAACTGAGAGCTAATTCATGACTTCACAGTCCTACCAAGCAGGGATCCTGGCTGAGGATGAGGTAGGTCAGGCACTGTTTGGGAAAGGGTTATGCCCTTAGATATGGAGAGTGGAGAGTTCAGGGCACTGGGGTTTCCCAGGATTACATCACTGCTGTAGGCTGTCCTTTTAAAATGTAGACTTAAAGGTTTCTTTATGGCAAAGGAACACATTGCAGAGACAGGGCATCCCTTCGAAGACCAAGGCAAGGCTTCCCTCTCTACTAGAGATGAAGCTTTGTTTGCAGAGACAGCTTTAAAAAATCAAGTCTGAGTTGGGAGTACTTTTATTTCTTTGCAGAGACAGTTAATGTGACTAAGAGGTAGAAAATACCTAGAAAAATATTTAAGAGAGCTGCCTTAGAAACACATTAGGACTAACCTCTGTATTGGATCTGACAAAATCTTAATCAAAAGGCTTTTCCTTCCTCTCCCCAGCCTCAATCTTCAGTGCATTTTTAAAGGACAGGTTGCTGCCCTTAAGGCCTCTGTGGGGTTCCCATGAGGACAGAAAGGACTAGACATGTAGGTCCCTGACACTCTATAGGTTTTTAACGGGGAGTAGGTTCACTCTAGCATCTCAAAATTGATTCTCCAACTGCAATGGACACCAAGATTGGAACATCCGTTCAACAGTTCAAGCAAACATCTAGGTCTTTTACAGTTAAAAACAGGTTGAAACTGGGCTGTACTTGCCTGCTGAAATGGCATCCTTAAAGCACCTACGTTGACATAGGGTGCAACTCTACAAGCTTCAAACTGGCTGGCAGCCCCTATGAGGACACCTGTAAAAAATAGGGGAACAAAACCCAATAATGTGAGGTTAATATTTCCAGCATTGTTTTCCAGGGTTTCAAATGATACCAAGATAAAACTAATTCCTTTGGAAATGGACTGTTACCTTCCTAAACTGCTGCCATAATTAAAATAAATGTAATTAACTCCCAAGCCTTAGGACTCTCATTAACTGTCTTCAGAGCAGATTTTTAAAATAAGGACCATGGTTATCTTTGAGAAGTTTTTTCTGGCTTTGTACAATAATAACAACATTCCTCATTCTCTTTTTACTTAGAATATCAAATGTTCTTTGTCTGAGAAGCATACCTTTATGGAGTTGATTTTCTTGTTTTCTACATTTAGCTCTTCGATTTTGGAACCAAACCTACAAATTGGAGGGAAAAAATAAGACCTAGATGTTATGACTCAAAACATTTTAAAAATTACAAGAGTACGATGAAAAAAGGACAGTGTTTTAGGCAGAGATTGGGAGATGTAGCAAGCAATCTTTGAACTATATTGAACAATCTCAATTTCAAAAGTTAAAAATGTAAATGAATGACAAAAATAAATAGATTTCCTAGACTTTTGCAAGATAAATTGTTTCCTGATAAATTACTATTAGTCTTGGTTTCATCTTACCACATTACAGAGTTCCCAAGGCCTAAAACTCCCTCGCTGGTACCTGATACCAAAGTGATAATGGGTTTAGATGTTTGCCCAGTAAGACCTGAGAAGAATGTGCTCATTAATAGCCTGTAATATTAATTAGCTTCATCTTCAAGAAAAACCAAACACCAAAGCAAATAGTGACTCTCTTTTTTTTTTCCTGGGGTGGGGGGGAGAGGGATAAGAGTGGGGGAAGAGGTAATTAGTGTCATAAAAGCCTCACTACAAAGAAGTTTAGAATTTCTCTGTTCCTCTGTGCAGCAGAATATAACACAGTAGCAGAATAATTGTGCTATTATCATGATAATCTAATTTGCTTCTATAGAAAAAGTCAAAGTTAGGATAGTAGAGAAGCATCTAAAAAATAGCTCAAAAATTTTTTTAAAGTATGAAAAAATAAAAACTAGAAATAAAGTTCACTTCTTATGAGAAAAAAAAACACAAAACATTCTGTGAAAGGGGGGAGGTGGGGTATGAATCAAGTAACTCCTGGATATTATTATCTCCCAGATATTACCTTCCTAAATAAACCTGCCAACTTTTAGAAGCAGTATGGCAAATTTTAAACAATTCAAATAAAGCTTGCTTTTATAGTGTAATAATACAGCATTATGTTCCAATAATACAGCATATTGACTGATTCACAAATTAATGTTAAAAAACATGAAAGTAAAATATTGCTTCTGAGCTTTGTCTTGTTTTTAAAAGCAAGTGTCATAGTCTATGTAAATCTTCAAAAATTCCCCTGCCATTTAGTGTAATAGAAGGGTAGATTTCATGCCAGGGTGGCATCCTTTGTGTAACTCACATGGCCTGAGGCTTCTTGCCTCTTTTCCCCTAGTAGAGTTGGAACTGAGATACTAATGCTCATAACTGTAATAATTATCATCATGTCTTTAAGGGGTTGCTGAGCCTCTAGAGATCTCAGTACACAGAGCAAAGCAAGAGAGGCTTAAAAAGGAAGGCTCCACTGTTGATGCTGTGATGACCAAGGCAGCTTATTATTACTTTTCCCCTTTAACTCGACTGCTCTGTTTTTGTCCTGATCCTATTACAAGATGCGGGGAAGCCCCATAAGAATTGCATAGTTCGCTGCAGATGGTGGTCTCTGCGCCCAGAGACCCAGGGAGTATCTGTTACAGTGATACTTTATAACAGCTGCAGATGTTCAGGCCTAAAACTGCTCCATGTGTTCAAACAAATAATGACCATCATTTTCTCCTATTTTATTATTTGAGCGGAAATACAATCTGAAACATTTAAATTTGTCCTCCATAAACCTAGGATATGCATGCATGTATGTATATAAATGTTCACCTTAACTGCCCCCAAAGCCTACTTTTGCCATACATTCACCCCCACAACCATTAGTAAAGAAAATCTACTCCAATCCTAACTTTATAGGGTATGGCACTTGCTGGGGGTCGTACAAATGCCAATATTAAGATATGTATCTTGTTTTAAAATCAAGGTTTCTGTAGGTTCAGGTTCTTAAGTGAGGGAACAAAGAATGACCAAAAAGCATTTATTTCTCCGCTGTTTCACACACAGTTTGAGATTGACCGCTAACGGCAGACTGTAAATTTCTACATTTAACAGTTGCTAATTTTCTTTATAGTCTGTACATCTATAAACCTAATTGGTATATCCGCTTGGCAAACTTAGACCCTGGAGCAGACCCTCAAGGAAACCCAACTCCAGCGAACAAAATATTCGTTGTAACTTTTAAGGCATCCAGAAGATAAAACGTTTTCTGTGGGACTTTTTTTTAAGGCTTATAAAAGTAGGCCCATTAGGATTAAACCACATTAAAGGCACCGGGAGGCGAGGGGGGTGTGGTTTATAGAAACTCTGGGAGCAAGCCCAGCACAGCTTTCTTCTGCTGAGAACATATGTTGGGATAGGGAAAAAGGGGTGGGGGGAGTTATAAGACTAAGATCTACTTTGGAAAAAAAGACCTCTGGTAAAGACATCCCTTTCCTTCTCACCTCACTCCCAGCACTGGAACCTGCACCCTTGGTGTCTGCCCCCTGGGCCACCTCTCCAACCCCAGGCGTGCCCCTCCTCCTTCTCTGGGCCCAGCCGCCACCTCCTCACAGCCAGGTACCTGCACTCGGGCCTCGGACAGCCCCAGCCGTTGGCTCAGTTCTTCGCGCATAAAGGCGTCCGGGTAGTGGGTTTCGTCAAAAAGCCTCTCCAGCTCGTTGAGTTGTTCCAGGGTGAAATTGGTCCGACTTCGCCTCTGCTTGATTTTGGTCTGGCCTTCGTCCTCCATCCCTTTCGCATCCTCTTTGCGATCCTTCAGCTCCGGGGACACTGGAGGGGGCACCACGAACAGGGCCACACATATGTCCACGCGCGCACACAGCAACACACACACACACACACACACACACACACACACACACACACACGGATAAAAACAACACAGCAAATTCCATTACCAGGTTTGTCTCAAGAAGGGTGGAGGATCCTGCCCCTTCCCGGAGTTCCTGTCCAGTTCCTCACCCCGCCAGGAGGAAGAGGATCCTGGAGACTCGCAAAGATCAACTCTGGGTGGCCACCCACGGGCAAGATGAGCATTCACACACCCATCCCCTCCGCAAAGGTGGCTTCAGCTCACTTTCTCACTGACCACCCCCACAGTCCCCTGCCCTCCCCTGCGAACACCAAATTCATTCCACTCACCCTCTCGCGCACTCACTCTCTTTCACGCACGCACAGAAATCAGAAGCTCCGCGCCCCGCCCGTCACCGAACGCGATCCCGGCTGAAGGGCGCCGCGAGGCCACGCACAGGTCTCTCACACCCGCGGTTTCCAGACTACTAGGCCGTTCTCAGGCCGGCTCTGGCCTCTGCTATCTCTCTGTCTCGCTCAAACTTGTGGTCTAATTTGGTAACAATTGGGCGGAAGGCGCGCAGTGAGAGAACAAGACCCGTGTCCTGCGCGGTACTCGGAGCCGCATCCCCCGGCGCTCGGTGCTGACCCACGGCTCGGGCCAAACCCCGAGCACCACGCATGGACCGCCAGGCAGTCCCCGTCCCCCTTGCCAGAACCGAGTCGCCTGGGCAGAGGCGTCCACGCCATGTTGGCGGTCTGGAGGGCTCGCCACGCACGCCCGGCCAGAAGAGGCGGAAAACTAGCCTCCAGTGGCTCGCGGAACCGACCGTTGCCTCCGTTCTCTCCTTCCCTCTCCCCACTGGAAAGGCCGATCCGACCCTAAACGCTTAAACCCACAGAGATCAACAGGTTCAAGCGGAACATTCGCGATCCTCGGTTTCTATTGGTTACTCAAAGCCTTTTCATGCATCCACCAGCTCGGATGTTTAATAAAATATGCATTTTTTTTCCTGCTCTGGGCTTGCACACATCCGTTGCTACTTTCCTGTTCTTCCTTCTCCTCCCTTTAAAAACAGAAGCTCTGCAAGTATGCGCATACAGAGACACTCGAGGGATATGGATATATATATTTAGGCCAAGGGGCAGTGATCAGAGGAGCCAGTATCAACATAGGTTGCCCTCTGGAACCTTCATCTTCTGCGCCTGAGTCGGAGACTTGGGTTTTTAAGGTGTCAAAGCTGAGTTTAGGCAGTCGAGGGAGGCAGGTTGCAGTTTTTCCCAGCCTAGGTTCCCAATCGGCATGGGTGTTAAAAATCATTTCCAGAAGAGCCGGCCTGCAGAGAAATTAATACTTGCCCTTGGAAATCAACAGTCCCAGGACTGTGTCTGCCTGGGATTTAGACCCTACCCTGTGCGCTGGCGTTCTCAGCGCCCGGAGCTGCGGCTTCACGCCCGGCAGGCTGCACTGGGCCGCCAGACAGTTATGGTAACACTTTCCAAATTTAGGAGGACATGGTGCCGGGTCTGCAGGAAGAAGAGCCTCTAGATCTCAGCCCAGCCTGGCATTCTTACTATGGTGGTCTTAAGTGTTGCCGGCCTTCCTAGTTCTCAAGAGTTCGTTTTGTGGACATGTGTCCTTCCTCCGGGAAGGAAGTGGATAACATTATAGCAAACATTCGGAGCCAAGTTAATAGGAAAATATTTCCACTGATAGTGTAATGAAATTTGAACATGAAAACACACTGTTAAGATTCTGCCAAAGGGGTGAGAAGGCTTTGTCTATTTTGTGTCATCGACAATGGATGCCTCTCAAACTTTTGAAGCTTCAAAGAGAAAAATGTCCACATTTCCAGTTGATTAATAGACTTAATATAATCTTTATTTCGCCCCCCAAATTTCCACTTATTGGCCTAAACAGGAACAGACCGTGTTATAAACAACTTAATTGCTTGCTTAAATATGTGATTCTACGCATGTCACATATTTTCTTAATTGGAAAAATATGGCAGCACACCAGTTACTGCAGGGACCAAGTGCCAAATTAATTTTATTGTTGTATTCTTTTGAATTGGTACAGGACGCTCCACCATTTAGATAAAGCCGTTTTCTAACGCTAACAGTTTGCTGGCACTAAAGGATTCCCCCCCACACACAAAATCAGAGCACTGAATGATGCGAAGCACTAACGGAATTGTGTAAATATTGAAAAACAAACCACACACAAAAAAGGAGCTTAAGGAGTCACCCAAGAGAAACAACATAGTCTGAACTTAGCCTGCCTTGGCCTCATTCTACCTTTATAGCTCAAAGATAATGGGAAGCTCTGGCCCCCAAGATCCAGAGATCCAGGATCTTCGCGGAGTTCGAGTGGTTCTCAGCAACCGCCCGAAACCTGGGGAGTACCCGAGGGTGAAATCAATCTCTCTCTCTCTCTCTCTCTCTCTCTCTCTCTCTCTCTCTCTCTCTCCCTCTCTCCCTCTCTCCCTCTCTCCCTCTCTCCCTCTCCTCCTAGGAGACGGATTCCCGCAAACTCGGCGCTGGGTGCTACCCGTAATCCCGCCGCCGGGCCCAGCTGCTGCCAGCACCCCCACCCGCACCGGGCCCCGCGAACTTCCCAATCCGCCCGCGGGCCGTCTGGGCTGCGGCCCCGTCCTCTGGCTGGTGAAAATGCGTTCCAGTGGAATGGGAATAGCGGGAGCATCTGAGAAGGGCGCGCGGAAACCCCACACGCCCCCCCTCCCCCCACACACACTCGGACCCCACCCACGACCGTGCACACCACCCGACTCCCACCCCTCCATCACCACTCTAGCTTCCAAATTGGGATCCAAGGGCCCTCTCCGCGTCCCGCCCCCCAGCCCGCTGGGCCTCGGGGTCCTCTCGCGCCCAAGAGGAGTCGGGAAGGCGGGAAGGGGAACCGCGGCCGGGGGTCAGGCCGTTACCCTCGGTGAGCCGCGGGCTGCCGGGCTCCCTGCTCCTCTCGGCGGCGCCCATGTCCAGCTCCCGGACGGGAGAGCGCCCTCCTCCAGCTCCTCCGCCCGCTCCTCCTCCTCCTCCTCCTGCACCTCCTCCGCCTCCTCCGCCTCCGCCTCCGCCTCCTCCGCCGCCACCTCCGCCGGCCGCCCGGACTGCCGGGCTGCTGCCGGCCGCCCGGACTGCCGGGCTGCTGC